GTGTGTGCGTGTATGTGTGTGTATGTGTGTGTGTGTGCGCGCGCTAGTGTGGTTGAGGGAGGGGAGCACTGTCAGCTAAGGTGATATCTTACTGAACCATCATGTGTATGAATCTTTATTCGAATTAGTAATAGTTTTTTAATAATTATTATTTCGTTTTCATGGCTCTTTAGTCTCTGTGCTTGTTTGTTACAAAGGTGAAGATTGATTCTTAAATTGTTGTAAAGGACATTTTATAATTCCAAAATAATATTTTTTAAAAGAGATGTAATAAAGATGGGGCTGGGTTTTTTTTTAATCTCTTTGCTCAACCTGTTATTTACGGAACTCTGTGGCCGAGCAAAGCCGCGTCGTAACAGATGGTTCCAGAACCCAGGCGGCATGCGAGAGGGGTGTGAGTCCGTGCTTATTGGTGAGTAGCGTTCGCCACTTTCGGCACCCACAGAAACTTTCTATTCGTTACAAACACGTCCATTTGCATTTGGGCCTTTTCTTTCCTCGCAGAGACGAAGACCATTTTGGTGCTGCCAGTGCTGGTAAATGGGTAAAAATATCATATATATATATATCTGCTTATCGGAGCTCTTTGCATCTCTTTTTGTAACAATTAAGTTGAACGTTGTTTGGGGCAAGGAGAGGGGAAAGAGAAAACAGAGAGAGAGAGAGAGAGAGAGAGAGAGAGAGAGAGAGAGAGAGAGAGAGAGAGAGAGAGAGAGATGATTGTTGAATGAACATGATCGAAGCAGTAGAGAAAATGTCGTAATTAGTAATTATCGGCACTGCCGACATGTAACAACTCTAGCACCAAAAAACTGTTGTGAACCTCTCTGGCATACTCTAAAAACCGCCGAAATTAAATTAGCCATAAAATTTGCGAACACTAGTCGCTACAGCTTGACATCAGTGGTACAAATAGGCTACCAAGATGTATATCATCATGGCTAAGTACCCTGCGCTCATAAGATCACCCCCCTCCCCTTTTACAAAAATAAGCAACGCTGAAAGCACGGGAAAAAAGCGTTCTTATTAACGTCGGTGTCAGACGTTCACCTGTTGTACATGACCAATGGTGTTCAGAAAAGTGAAAAAAAATCGATAATGTCTTTCTTTTTACCTACCAGAGTTGCTCAAGCTATCGTAAAATGTGTTAGGTTTTTTTCTTTACGTATTAAATTATCCCCAGTTTTTGTCAGTACTGTTGTGAATAACTTAATTTGAGACCGAAAAAAGTTGCGGACACGGTTCAAGCCGTACGGAGATCTAAACGGCTGCACACTTACAGTAAGTAGTGTGACTTGTCTCGGAAAAAAGGTTACAGAATGGTAGTGTGTATCTATGGTAATGTAGGTTACAAAACGGTAGTGTGTATTATAGTAATGTTACCTTCTGGTGGGTCACACGACTTCATACAGAGCAAATTTCTTTGCCAACATGTTCGTTCTAGATTTCCGTGGGTTGTTGGCGGGTGCCCTGGTGAAGATTTGCTCCTTCTTTCCTGTTAAACAGAAAACGTCCTTACCTCTCGTCTTTTTGTGTTTGTTATTCTTGTACCACCTCTAATTTTTGGCACTTATATAACCTCCGTGTGTTGCAAGTGCCGTAAAACTCTTGCTAAGACTATAAACTAGATTTCTATTCCAATCTCTCAGAGGACACAAAGCGGTCCAGTTTGTTAGACCTTTATCGCTTCAATATAGACTTGGAACCAAGTCCAAGGTTTCTGCTGCCAGATGACCTTGGGGAATAAAGAGAAGAAAATATTTTAAAAGTAGGCCTACAACGTCCTTAAAGACAGGGCCGGCGACCGAAATGAAAAAAAGGTTGGGTTGTTGTTTTGTTTTTTGTGGTTTGTTGGGGGGGGGGAAG